TAAATACAAAAGCAGAGGCTCACAGACCTATTTAAGCTATATTTAAGCTGATGGAAAGCTACTTTACTGGCCTTTGAGGATGACCTCTCACTGACTGTTTACTTCTGGATCTCCCTTTTATAAATGCTTTCCTGACTTTGGTGGATGAAAGCCACAGATGTTTACAGTAGCTGCAAATAATGCTCTAAAAATCTAATCAGGGAAGTGCTCATAAGTAAATACTTCTCAGTAGATTGATGTAGATAGAGGAATTGAAAATCCATGTAGTCAGATCACACAGCAAAGTATCAAGTGAATATTGAAAATGCTTGTCCTGGATGAGTTATGAGAATCTATTGAGCTGTTTAAGAGAAAAGTGGTAAAGATGGTACTAAAGGTGCTACTTAAAAGATTAGGGAGGAGTTGTGGTGAAAAATGCACAACCACAAAAATAGCAGTGTGTCCACTAAGCCCATGACATGCACCAGTTAGAGGTTTGAGCTGTTGCTCCCAGGGTTCTCATTAGAGCACAGGAGGTGAGATGTGGAGGCATTTTGCACATTGCCATGGCAGGTGTGACATGCCCTAGTTACTGTTCACACTCACACACAAGCTCTGAGTTGCAGAAAAAAATTAAATCAAGCACCTGACTCCAACCTACACCGCAGCTCCTTTCAACCTGGAGCCCACGGGCCTGTCTCTCAGGATGGCACTAATGGAGATAAAATTGTGTCAGATATTGGACAAGCATATGCATCACCTACAGCCTGTGGTGGAATAAGAAATCACTGCCTCTCTTCAGTTCAGCAAGGCTATTACATCACCCTGCCTCACAGTAAATCTATAAAGGTGAAACCCCAGTTATCCCAATTGCTCATGCACAGCACAGAGAAATAACAGCTGTATCCCAGATTGTTACTTTTCTATACCTTTGTAAATAAAATCAAGCATGAAGAGGTGTTTGCATTAGCTGTCAATAATTATTATGCTGTGCTACCTTTCCCAAGATGAAAAGCCAGCAGTGTTTGGGTGAACATACTGCTTTTTATAATGCAGCCATGTGAAATTATAATTTATGATTCAGTAATGTAAAAGCTTGGAGATCTGTGCAGCACAATAAGACTTTTTAAAAGCCCATTGTTTAAATTCACTCAGGAAAAAGAATAAAAGACAAAAGATTTACAAATCCTCTGCTGGGAAAAGTCTTGAAACAGCAAAAAAGTAGCAAAGATAATATAAAGGAATTTTTTACATGCCATATCAAAGATCCAATTGGATACCAAGATATTTCAAAATAGGTATAAATGCTGGGATGTCATTGAAAAAATAATTTCCTAACAGGGGTATAGGAATTGCATATGTATCTTGTGCAGTATAAAGGAATAAAACTCATACTTACCTATTCTGTACACAGAGCAAACATCTGTGATGGAGATTTGTTTCAACAAATCCACTACTTCTTCCAAATTTTTTTCTTTTGAAAAAAATGATAGCTCTTCTGCTTCAAGAAAATCCAAATCTTGTGGTCTAGCAAGGAAAGGAATAACTATGAAGGTGCTTGAAAGCAGATTTGGCTTAAGGAGCTCACTGCATCAGTCAAATATAAACTTGTTAGAGAAACTAATATCTTTACATTATAGGTTGTGTGGTGTTCAAAACTGGTTTCAGTCAATTTATACAATATACATATAAACTGATAGTAACAGTTTCTGCCATATCAGAATAAGCTTTATGTCAGTGTCACTGTATAGCATTTTATGAGAGTATTTATTAGAAGCATGAGTCTTGAAGGACTTTATGGTATTGATTTTCTAATATAAGCTTTAAGTTACATATGAAATGGACCAGTAAGCAGCATTTAAGAACTCCTTGTTTCAGCATGCAAACAGTTCAGGCATATTAATAAGAGCAGCCTATTTACATGGTGCCAATGCATGATGAAATATCCCCTTTTTAGAGGTTTCAGTCTGCATTATTAGCAGCTATTTGCAAAGGTCCCATTAGGAGCAAGTTAAAGGCTATAACTGAGGATAGTAGAAAAAAAAATCAGGACTTGGATGCTTTAACATAGATCTTGAGAGATCAGCAAGAAAACCTTCTGCAAGGGTAAAGCTGCTTGGATCTTGTGACCCAAAGAATAGAAACTGAACCAATATAATAAGTCCAGCAACCTCTTTTCCCAGGAAGAAACTCAGCTACAGACTAAAAATATTTTTCAACATTTAAGAAGATTTCATATTCCAATTCTTTTGCAGTTTTGACTGATACATGCTATGAAAATTTACATTGAAAAAACAACACCAACAACACCAAAACCAAACCAAACAAACAAAAAAAAAAAACCCAAAAGAACCCCAAAACACAACCCCCCCCAAAAACAATAGGAAAAAAAAAATTAAAAAACCCCTAAACCACACCCTGAATTTAATGTTCAGTATTTTAAAGCCGAGATGAGGAGACTAGTCCTTTTTGTTTATGAGACATAAATACATATCACTCACTTATTTTTAGATAAGTCCAGTTTAACATGACTTGTCTTCACAAAACCTATTTGGCCAGTAAACACATGTCTTCCAAGAAACCACTCCATGCATTCAATGAAGTAACCAAGGATCTCAATTTTGTCCCCTTCCTGGAAACTCAGCTCTTCTGACACAATACTTTCATAACTCATCACAGCTAGACAGGATCCCATTGCTGTGTAATAAGGAGATAAATAATATTTGCAGATAAAGCCATTTAACAATAGAAATGCACTTAATAAAATTGCAACTCAGCAGAATATATTTAGCAAAACACATTCCTGGAACCTGTGAGTTGAATATTTGCTGTGACAAGATTTAAAGCATCCAAACGTCATTGGTTTGATGATTAGATCTGTAAATAGCATGAAAATCCTCATTCCCCAGCCGTTAGAAAGCAAAGCCTAAAATATTTGCACAATTCTATCAGATTTCATCATGGAGCAGCAAAAAGAAATGTTTTAAGTCCGTATTTTCCCTCTTAAAATGGCTCTGAACTTGGGCCAGAGTGAAGCACTTGAACCACTTTTGAACCAATTAAAATGATCCCTATGGGATAAATATGGATATATACCAGTCAGTACAGTATTTAAACTGACATCATGGCAGAAAATAAGCCATATTTGCTCTCTAACTTCAAACTATCTGTATAAGTTTTATTTCTCTGACAGTATGAGATAAAGCAGCATACACACGTGCAACATCCACAATTACATTGGTGCATTTTCTGAGGCATCCTCAACTCAATTACTCTGTAATACCTTGTGTAATATTTAGGAACTAAAAGGGGAAAGACAAGTGTTTCGAGTTTGACTCTTCAGTTTAACCTTAGACCAAATTTATACTCTCATAAATTTTACTGCAAACTAATTTTGAAAACTGTTTCCCCATTCTAATACAATGGACAAAAAGGTATTGAACTTTTTAGAGCCTGTTCTAGCAAAAGCATAGAGTAAATTTGGGATTATTCTAACGTTGATGCTTGAATGAAGTTTCTTACCAACTTTTCTGATGGATTTAGATTCATTTTTGTAGGAAAAATCAATGGGATTAGAATACCCTTTAAGAAACCATCTGAAAGCAGAAAAAGAAATTGAAGTTAGTGTATAGAACACGTCACTAAATGCTGTGACAGTACCAGTCATATTTAAAATACATATGAAAACTGATGCATCTCTCCCACAATTAGCTTTCAATTTCAGCACTGCCCATACACTTCAGACACACTTATGTTTTGATTAATATTATAGTTAAAGTACTGCTACTTCAGGAAAACAAACCAAACTGAGAAAGTCATGCTATTTTTGCCTGCCCCAGGTAGAGGCATCTCTAAGCAGACAGATGAATCAGATGTACATGAAATAGGAGGTAGAGTCAGGCACCTACTGATGGAAAGGCTCCAATGGCTCCAGAGAAGCATTAGACCACAAAGGCCTGTCACTATCCACAGATCCACCTGTTACATCTTCAGTAAAAGCCCCAGCCTCAAAATAAGTGGTTTCATTTTCTGTAACCATCATCTTTCGTATTGTATTATCAGGATATAAAACAAAAAAAGATCCTAAAACAAAAGCAGTGGGGCAGATGTCATTTTATGTGATGTTTTAGTGTCATATAAGCCTTAAAACTGGCTTCAAGAAGGTCAGTAATATTCATTTAGAAATTGAAAATCTAATCTTAGTCAAGAATTTTCTAGATGATTATCAGATATTTATATGTTCCTGTCTCATGTGTCTTTGAGTTAAAAAAAAAAAAAAAAAAAAAAAAGCAGAGATGTCTTAATGAAGCACTGCTGCAATTCTACATATTCCTATTGCAGGACCAAATCATCCACCTATCCTGTCATCCTGTCTCCAGCAGTACCAGCAGGTGATGCTGTTTAGGAGAAGCACATGAGCCTGGCAACTGTTCATAATCCTTCTCCTGCACATCTCCAGAGCCTATAATAATATTAAGCGAGTTGGAATGTACATCACTCCCTAATCCTTTTGGTATCCATTTATGTACCAGGTGCATAATTAATTTCTTCAATCCCTTCATGATCTCACTGACCCATATCTGTGTTTGTTCCTTTCTTTTCTCTTTACAATGTGCATTTGGGGTGAGTAAATTTAAACTTCAACTTCATTAAGTATTTTAATAGGTCTTAATGTCTGATTTGGGGATTTTAAATAAAGATGCTTCCCTGAACCCAGCCTTAGCATATAGAGTCTTACTTACCTTCCTGTACTAGCAGACTTCTGTACATCAAATTTAATGATTTTTCATTTATACAGACTTCAATGCCTGCGTCTTCCTCCTCTTGGGAATATAGCCAGAAAGACTGGTCTAGGAATAAATTCTCCATGCAATGATTTATAAAACCTAGGAAAAGGAAAATCCTTTTTTTTTCCCTTGCCATTTTACAGAATTACACAAAAATACAAACTTTCAGAGAGTTAGAGACTACTCTATTATTACTTTAATGCACAGTGTATAAATCACAAAATTGTGTTCAACAACTTCCCAGAAATTGTGTGCAATTGAATACAAATTAACACACTGAACTATTGTATGGTGAAACAACTTTACCCAGTGAGTGGTAGGTTAGAAACTTCCATATTTCTTCAAAAGTTTTAAATGTCACCACTATTAGATCTTGATCACTGTGAATAGACAGGAGTCTGGCAGAAAGCTCCTAAAAATCAAAACAAATACTTTATTGACAATTACACCAAATTTTAGCACAATTTCTCACTAGGTAACACTTAGGCTAAAATACTATGCATTAAGAAGGATTGAAAAAAATAATCCAGGATTTTATCTGTATGAGATATCTGTTCTTTAACATACATCTACAACATATAGGCAGTCAAAATTTAATCCGAGTCTTACTTAGCAATTGTACCAACAGTTTCAGTGAGGTTAATTTACAGAGGAAATACAGAGCACACTGAGTGATACTGAAGGTTTGTCCAGTCCAGAAATGTCTATGTATAGTCATATGTATAAGAGTATAGCCAAATGTATAAATACAGGCAAGCACATAGTAGATGTTTCCAAGAATATCCTCTGCACAGAGGGGTTCACAGCTTGGGAACTGCCTTTGCCAGACATGTAGGCATTAATATTAAATAGTGGAAAGGAGCTAGTTTGGATGGTTTTTTATTTGAAATTTCTCACTTGATCAATGTAAATTTTTAGGTTCTACAGTCTCTTGATATAGATTATCCTCAGAGCTCTGTACACACACAAAAATGCAGCTCCTTTGATGGAACTTTGAACCTGCTTCCTGGTATTGTCAGTCTTTATCCAGAAGAGATATTGAATAATTATTTCCCATTTCACTCTTTTTTGGTTAAAACAAATATACTGAAGTACTAATTTTTTTTTTAAAGATGCAGTAAGACCTTTTTATCCTCATTTGTACTGGTTCACATTGCTAGAATAGCATTAAATTACACTTTTAACAAAGATAAGCAATGATCATTGTAAGTGGTAATGATAGATTTTAAGCTATTCCAAAAATGCTAAAAGGAACAATTACATAAACCTTCAAATAAGTGAAAGAAAAACACATTTTGATGGATTCTAGACAGAGAGGGGTAATATAGGCTGGTTGCACTCCACTTTGTAGCTTCAAAACAGGGCTTTCCAGTGATGTTGGCTATTGCCTTCCAGGGAAATACAAAGAACTGTGTAATTTATGAGACAAGTATCTGAATCACTATCTCAGAGATTAAATCAAATGTAAAGCTAACAGGTATAAAGCTACTGTACCCTTGCTCCCATCACATTAAAATTGAAATGCAGCTTGAAATAATTGAAGGACTGATCAAGAAATTGAGTCTAACTCAAGACAAGGGAGGAAATTGTCCTCAAACTTTCTATAATCTGACTAAGACAGAGCTGATCCACTGATTTTATGACTGCTACAGCAGAATTTAAAAATATCTTTTAATTAATTCCTTTTAACATCCATATTTTCAAGTCACACAATCTGAACACATTGAAATATAAAAGTCCAACCTAGGCTTCTTCAGCAGGCATGTCTCATCCATGCTTTGATCTTCTGCATGCATCTTTCTACACAAGATTACATATTAATGAGAGCCTGAGATCTATTAATAAATTGCCAACACATGCTAAAGTATGTCAGCCTCAGGGGCTTCATGCACTGCTGAATATCAAAACAACATTCTAATGAAACTTAACGTTATCACTCTTTCCCAGTTTGTTTCTAATAAGGCCACAAATCTATCTATTTGTTTGCTCTTTTCCTTTGCCTCCCAATCCCATCTACTTTCCTCCATCTCCCTCTAAACACAATCCAGAGCAGAGAAGCAGAAGTACAAACTGTTTGCACAGCCACAAAGTCAGCAGCCTGGTGGTGGGGTGGTCACAACATGTGAAAGGAAAATGGTGTAGAAACATGTGTCTGTATTAGTCAAAACCATAACTAATAAAGATTTCAGTAGTTTTGTTTGCTAGTGAAGGAGGTAGACAAAAAAAAAAAAGACACAGAGGTTAGATGGTGTCATTCTGATTTTTTTTCAAGAGGGAGAAGGAGACTAACCTTTATTCCAAGTGAACCTCATTGGTTGTAGAGGACAGATTTCCCATACACAAAAAAAATAAATTAAAGACAGTAATGAAATTTGGCCAACAATTATATGCTATTTAAAGTTATGGCCATTTAGCCCTAGGAAGTCCAGTGCTTAGGCTATTCTCTTTCAGGCTTCCTCTTTGGCTTAGCAGTGAACTTCCCAGGAAATTAGCTTGCCAAATAACTCCAAGCATCTAGAAACTGAAATGATGAGTCAATACAAGGGCAAATTAAAATAAATCAAATCCTTATTATTTCCCTTGATGTAAATGAAAACAGAATTTTTTAAAAATAAACTCATTCAATTACTTATTAAGGTGGGTTTATTTTTTTTACATCAATGAAGCTCCAGAATTTTTCAATAATTCAATATTTATAAAGTCCCTAAATGTTTTTGGGCCACAGGAAAGTGGTCAAATTCAAGCACTCGGTATGTAGATGGAAATAGGACCCAAATATCTTGCAGACCATTTCAGTAGGGGGTATTATCTGAATAAATAAAACAATTTCCAAGCAATTGACTTACACTGAAGACAGTCATCACCTCCTTGCTGTCATTTTCCAGAAGACGGAGCTGCCCTCTGAGCTGTCTTTGGAGCCTGGGATCAGGACACCCACTCTTTCTTTTTACCATTGTTAGCTTCAAGGAGATATCTGGAGGAGGATAGCCATTTTCATTATTACAAGCTTTGTAAATCAGCTTTGGAGAACCAGAAAATACCTCAAAATTACAGAATATACATTAAGGTATATTTTTTCAGCTTCAGAGACAGGCACACAGAACACTGATCTACTGCATGTTTCTTTTATGTTTTTATCATCCTGTAGATGTAGGAGCCTAGCATGAAACAATTTTGAGAGACAACTTCACTTCTAGACAGTGAAGGAAAAAAAAAACAAAAAGAAAAAACCAAATAGATTGGTCATTTGTTAATTTGGACAGCTCTGGGCATTGCAAACATGACCAGATTTCCAACTAATCTATGCATATCAAAAATCAAAGTAAACAGATGCTGTCATCACCACGAAAAGTCCTGAACAACAACAGATAGTTCAGCATGTTACAACCCTTCATACTAATCTTAAATTGATAGCTATCTGACATGTCACCCCCACTACTCCAGAAAGCTTTTATAAATCAGATATTGTAAAAGCTGTTTCTCAGCTGAGCTGGTTGAACAGTACCAACCAAGTTAAATGGTCCAGGTTAAAGCTCCCTTAGATGATTTTCCCAGCACATCTGAAAGCAGACAGGTATCTATTCCCAAGCTGTTGGCATCTGTTCATGAGAACCTTTTACTACAGCTAAGGCTACAGCTCCAGCCAGCTTCTTACATAAAGAGGATCTTTGATAATGCTGCTTTCATTCTGCATTAATTCATTAATTTTGCTCAATAACAGTAAATCATACGTTTTCAGACACCCAGATGGGCACATATAAGCCAATAATATCCAGGCAGGAAGAATTCCAATTGCAAAGTATGTAACTAGGTCACGCTTCCAGAAATATGGGACTGTTGTGCACACTAAAATATTCCACCTCCTCTGAGTTTCATATTTTAATCCAGTAAAATAGATGCTTTTCACATTCTAGTCTAATTTGCTGTATCTTGATCTGTTTTCAGAGGGCTTCCTATGCATGTCTCCAGGACTTTTACCATGACTTGCACCTAAATTACTCATTACTTTAAGGTCAAGAAGGGTGGCTCAGAAATATAAACCTGTGTTACTGAATTACAAGGCCTTTCCCTTTAAGCTGTGGTTATATAGTCAATTTTCAGTAGAAAGAACACAAACTACAGTCTCTGAATGTGTTCAGATCACTGATAGAGCAGAATTAATGACCTTTTCATTTTACCTGAAAACATAAAACATACTGGCACAAGAGAAGACTAAGTTAAGAATATATACGTTCATTTTATATAACCAAATTGGCTCTGAGGTAAATATGTAATGGTAGACACACAATCTAACTTTTATGGAAGGTTAATGAACAGAAATACAGCTACTTCTGTAAAAAAAATATCCTATAATAATGCCTTTTAGAGATTAAATATGGTCTAAACCCCCATTATAATGTCCTATCTGCTTCTGTGAGCCCTGACCCATCCTCCAGTTACAAAGAACCCAAATTCTGACATGGCAAGACAAGCAGGTACATAAAGCACAAATAATTTTACTAGAAATAACCATATGCCTGGGGAAGACTGTCTTCCTGATGTGATTTGTCAGGTCAAGCCAGGGAGCAGGGAACAGCTCAGTGCTGGTTTTGATGGCACAGGAAGGGAAATGTGCCAAGACCCTCAATTCACAGTGACTGCCATGAGCTCTCCAGAGGTGAAGCCTACTGAACCCACTCACTGAAAATCTGCACTCAATTGACACTTCACTCAAAATACAGCATTAAAAACAATAAAAACAGATACCTGGAAAGGCCACAAACTTTAAAAAATAAGCCATCTGAAGGATTGAAAGTCATATGTAAAATAGGAAATGAACTTTTTATTTGTTTCTCTTTTTTTTTTAACCAATATACAATACAGTACATAAATTATTTCTGGTTTTTATAGCAGTTGCTCCTTTTTATGAGAAATTCTCAACAAATTTTATGTACAAGTTGGTCACTTCACAGCTACCATGAAATACATTATAAACCTTACAGGACCAATGACTGCAAACATTGACATAGTTGAGTTGTCTCAAAAATAAAAAGTAAGCAATGAGAAAAGCATATATTATAAACAGAGGAAGAGGGAAAAAATGCCTTACCAGTTGGAAAATTCTCTGCCTGACTGGGAAGGGTCCTTGAACTGACATTCATGCATTTTTCACTTGGAGAACACTCTATTATGATAAATGAAATTAATGGTTATGTGCCTTTTCTAAGTCATATAAATCACACTGAAAAAAAAACCAACAAAATACCCCATGCTTTCAAAGCATTTGATGAATCAGATAATTTCTAAGAGAGATTAAATATTTTCTCCCCTTCCTGCTTATGTAATTCCCAAACCCCACAAAAAGTATCTGCAGAATATTTCTTTGCTCCTAGGGTGGAGGGGGAAGTTAAATCTTAATTGCATCATTTTGATGTGAAATTTCAAGATGGAGAATTGGTGGAAGGACAGGTGTTCAGGAAACAAAATTCTCATTTGGGAGGGAGCAAGGGTCAGACCTAATGGTCTCTTCCCCTGCACCTACACTAAAAATGGCTCCCACTGATGCTTCAGTGGTATAAATTGCTGTGCCATGTAGCAATTAATACATGGAAAAAAATAACTCTGTTACATGTGTATGTAATACTTGTGAGGGCATACTGTAAAATCAAATGATTTGAAGTTTCAGAAAGATATCACAAATAAGGTATGTTTTTTATTAAGAGTAATCTTCTTTTTTGCTTTAGCCCATATTTCTTCCTGTCCTTTGGGGAATTATGTATTTTCATGCTGATAAAACACCCACTGCAACCAAGGCTCCCTGGGCAAATATCAGTGAAGACAAGGTTTCATATTTCTAAGATTAAAAGCAAGAGAAATAGAGATTTCATTTTTAGTAGAAAATTTCTCAGGCAATTTTTGTGTATCCAAAGACATTATCCTATGAAACTCTGCTTTTAAAAAAAACCCTGTAATATAGCAGGGCATGATAATTTCCAAGTATTTTGCATGTTTCCTCAAGTGCATCTATGAAGGTGACATGGACAAAGTCATACAAATAAATAAGGATACATACAAAACAAATAGTTTTCCCACCTCACAAAGAAAGTAAGCAAGAACTAAAAGCATTGTCTTTAAGGCCTATTCCTAGCACATATTAAAATTAGAAATGGAAATCCCAAATGCTTTAATTTTGTAGGGTTTTGGCTGGCTGTTTGACAAAAGCATTGGGGTTGGGGTTTTATTTATTTTCTTAATATGAATTATGTGATGTTTGTTTTTAAATAGAAATTTGAAAGTAATCTCACTGCAGTGCAGGCTGACTGTGTTTAAGAAACATTCTAAATTTAAGTCCCTTAGAGGTTCTGGCACCAGACTTACCTGTAGTTCTGCTTTTTCTGGTTTTAGTCACAATTATAAACACAGAAGTTGTCAAAATTATGATAACAAGCTATCATTTTGATAATAATTTTATAGATGACAAAGAAGATAAATTAGCATATTTTTTGATATGTAAACTATTATCACTATTATTTTGATATTAAAAACTATAACTCTCTTTGAAAGGTAGTTATCAAGACATTAACATCCATATCTGTAACTTATAGGAGAAGGCAAAGGCTATCAACAAGCATTTGAATTACTCATCAGTATTTTCACATTAAGAAAGCTCTTGAGCCTACTGTAAACGAAGAGCCTGGCTGTTGCTACCTGCCTATGTCACTCCACACCTCTACCCAAAAGGTCCTTCTGACTTGCATGATTTTACATCACAAAGTAGGTTTTCTTTTGCACAAAGGCAGTACTACACCTCTGATGAAAAAGGAACTTTAAAAAATTATTGAAATAGAAACTTGGCTTCTGAATCTCATAGCAAAAAGTGCTAGAAAAAGAGCTTATATTTCAGTACCCTGGCTCTTGAGTTCTGATAATTTTCATCTCCTTTAATCTTACTAAAAGATAATTCATTTGCCTGCCCCAAGCGAATTTCAATGTAGATTGTTCAATAGTCCAGTCTATGCAGCATTTCTATGGAGGAAGCATAGCTGCTTGTTGTATTTCAAAAAAAGCCCGTCTGGGTTCTGTGATTCTGTGACAAACACGTGACAATTCTCAGCTTGTGCACCATTTACAAAACACAGTCATTCAAGCAAAGGAGCAGTCGGGAGCAGAGGCACCAGGATGTTTGAGCATTGTTTGAGGTCTTACCTGCTTGTTCTTGCAACGTGTCCTTCCCAACTGCATCCCTGAGAGTGCTGATGGCACCATTGCTCTCCACATGTTTGCAGTCACACCTGCACATTCCCTGCTCTGTTTCTTCCCTCTCCAAGTTCCTGTCTTGCTCTCCCTCCAGAGCACGGACAATGGTGTTTGTGCTGTGCATAGATGTGCCACCTGCCAATGCCAAACTCTCCATAATTTGAAGTTCCTCACAGCGACAAAATTAACATTATCGACAATCTGAAAAGGGAAAAAAAAAAAAAAAACAATAATATACTTTTAAAAAGTGTCAGGAAAGATGAACATACTCAAGAACTGTCCAATTTCTGAAGGAATTCTTTTTAATTGTAATATGGATTAAAGCATTTTCTATATGCTTCTTTGAGAGAAACTGTTGTGTAACATCCAAATTTATCTGAGAAAGAGCTCTTGCAATGAGGCAGCATCACTGCTTTAGGAACAAAGCAATAGACTTGGCTAACAGCAACAATCCAAGGCCTGAAGTGAAATGTACTTGTGCCCACTGCTAATTATTCATTCTTGGCCAGCTATAAAGCAGAGCCTCCCAGGGATAACATCATTCACATTAACAGAGGAATTGCAGGAGAAGAACATCATTTTCTAAAGGTGACAAGAATGGAACAAGTACTGCATGCTGAATTCAAACAACAAAGAAGGTTTATATAAATTCAGTTAAAGAATGGATCCTCCACAGGAGCCCACTGTTCAGGAAGACAGGCATCCAAGGATCCAAGTATCACTTTGGAGCAAAGCTGAAAAATGAAGCCCTACTGAAGCTAGAGGCTGAGTCTGGCAGCAAGACTCCACTTGGCATGATCAGGAAGAAGGAATAGAAACAAAATTAGAGCACAAGTAGCTGCAAGCTTCACTGCTCCATCCAGTCACTGAGTGAGGCATCCTGCAATCCTATTTCTTGGGAACAAGCTACTTCAGCATCAGAAAGATGCAGCCAGACCACCAGCCAAAGCATCCACAAGAACGTGACTCATGTAACCAGAACATGCCTGCTGATATTTACACCCTTTTCCTCAGTGGGCTTTCACATGTTTCTAAATGGTATCATAAAGCCACAGGATAGATTTTTCTTTAGTCCTGTCATTTGGATTTAATCTGAATTCCTCTGTGTTTATTCCAGCCATACTCATTAACGAGCTGCATTTATTATGAGTGTTCAAGGCTGTGATCTTTGGGAAATTTCATCTCATTTGTTTTCCAGCAGAAATTGGTTAAATCTGAAGCTGTAGATGAAAGGTGCACTTGTGCTCTGCTAAAGCCTCAGACTAGTGCCTGGCCACCTAGTATCCACTTATGATCTGCCTTCAGTCTGGTCAAGAAATGTCTTGCTTCTCCATTTACCATGCAATGGGGTGTCCCAAAGTACATGCTTCTGGCTTTTTTCTCCACAATCCCACCTTCCAACACTTCTTGCCCTCCAAGCTTCACATCACAGATCCCTAAACCTGAGCAAACAAGGTACCAATGTGAACAGAACAACAGCTGCCAGCAGGGTAGGGAGGTACATGGGACAAGGCAGGATCTGTCTGTACAACTTTCCTACTCTTTTATAGTCATTGAAACCTTTACCCCAATTGAGCACTTCTTGAAAAAACAGTGAACTATATATAGACCTAGGCAAGTTATGCAATTATAGAAAATTAATGAGGTATAGTCACAGGTTGTACGACCAGCTCAGAGAATTAAATCATAACCATATCTACCACAAGGTAATGAAGAATGAAGAAATCTAGGCTGGATTTTGCTTTAATGTTTTCATTGTCCCATTTTGCCATTTATCCAAAAGTGCCTTTCACAGTGTTGAGGCTGACTTTCAAAAGATGCTTTTGGTGCTGCATTACAGTTCTCTATATAAAGCTGTGTGTAAAAATTCATATATACACCCACGAAACACAGGTGGTAACTCAAACACAAGTAATTTGTATCCCTTCTCTCACAAAAGAACATTTTCATTAACATCTTTGGTTGACACTAAAAAACTGCCTGTCAGACTTGATGACCTAGTTATAAATGATTAAAAATACAGGCCTGCTAAAGGCCAAACTCACTTTGCCAGGGATCCATTTTTCCATATATAGCTGATCTTTTCCTTGAAGTAATGACAGTAGCTAACACCATTCTTTTCATTACTGTACCAGGATTATATGCAATACATTCCAATTTTCACACTTAGAAATTAACTACTTTTCTGCACATATTTTGTAAATAATAGTATCTCTTGTTGATGAAGATGTAAATATTTTAGTATTAATGATAATTTAGTTCCAAAGGAGGTTGTTTAAATTACGTTGTTGTATGAATCCAAAACCAGTTGTTATTTTTAGATCAGGATTACCCTTAATCCCAAAAATGAAATTCAGTGTTCAGATTATTCATTTTTTTCCATAAGCCCCTATCCACAAGCAAAAATATTAACCTGCACAAAATTTAGGAAAACAAACATACTCTGACTGGAATTATTAGAATTCAGTTGAATTAGAGAAGAGATACTGATAAAATTGTTCATATCTTCTGCATCAACTTCTGCTGGTAAGGGTAACATATATGCAGGTCTGTGAATGAACTTAGAAAGCTTGGTGCTGTAAGAGCAAGTAGGACATCTGAACAAATCAAAATGGATATAATCTGTTTAAGGAGATTCAGTCATAGAGCCTAAGTCAAGGGAAAAAAAAAAAAAATCAGAATGAGTAAAAGAAAAGCAAAACAGATATATTCTTAGGTATATTTTCTCTGGGTTCTTCCAAGATGCACAGAAGAAAAACTCAAACCTCAAACATTTTAGCAGCCGTGTTCTCTTCTACAGATTCCTTTCCTATTTCTAATGTTTTCCTTAGCCACCAAATGTCAACCCATGTGGCTTTGAGTAAGCACTGAGAACAAAATAGTAAACTTCCCTGTAGCTAGGCCCCTCATCTACCTAGGCCCTTTTGAATGTTTATCTGGCATCTAAATGTATCCTAACTGACACAAATTGGGTCCCAAGAGACAAAGATTTAATAGACATTTACATTACATCTCTGTACTTTTATTATTTGCCTTTAACTATCATGTAAGTACTCCAAGACAGAGAAGCAAAGCTACAGTATAATTATCCTATTTATTATGCTGATGCTTTCTCAATTATTAAACTTTTCCACCTCAAATTAAAGCAGATTTAATGGCACAGAGCCAGAGAAAAACATTCATCCAATATAAAACAGCTTTAGAGAATATTAAACTGCAGTGCTTGAGTCACTCTCATTATTAGAGATCTTTTCATAAACCTATAATGCTAGTAAGTATAATGGTTAGTTGCTAACTTACCATTTGTTGATAGCAACAACTACAAGATGAGGATCTTCAAGATTAAAGATCTAGCACTCACCATATAAAGTTTGTCATCTCTAATTAGTTCTTACAATCGACATTTATGTGTAAATTATGTGTACTGACTAAGCACTTTATTTATAATTTAGATAAAACTATTTTTCTCATGCTCTTTGAGGTTTGACCAAAAACTTCCTATTTGGTGCAGGATGTTGGCCATAAAACTTAATGATCTTCCTATTTTTCTGGACCCAGAGCCAACCTCTACTCAAAATAAAAGTCACTTGGTCAAGATGTGGCAGTCCTGAGGGGAGGGGGGATGCTCAGTTTCTGGGGCAGCAGAAAGAGGAGTGGCAGAGGCTGGGCAGCTCAGCCCCTTCAGTGCTCCTGGACACTCCTGGGAGTGTCTCCAGCAGCTCTGGGTGCTGCCCCACGCCCCTGTCCAGGCTTGTGAGGCTCAGAAGGTCACTCCACCTTCCCTGTCCCTTCTCAGGGCACAGCAGGCAGAAAGGACAGTATCCAACAGCTGTTGAACTTCAGGTAGAAATGAGACACTATTTTTAATAGAATAATTCCTTTATCATGTTTTTCTGTGTGTTGCTGCTTCCTTTTCGCTGAGTGTTTTCAAAGCCCAGCTAATCAGAAAAAAAAACATACAGTTCGAGATTTTCCATGGAGGCTGAGGGTTGTTTTTCTCCCCTGCCTTTTTTTATTATCTTAAGAGGTATTGCAGATGACAGGAACACCAATTCATTCCCTTTTAAATGAGAATGTGTTGAAGGAGAAAACCAATAACATTCACTGAACCAGATTCTCTCTCTCCCTCTAAAGATATATTTCTGAGACTAGGACCTGGTATACAAAAATGTTATGATGAAATAAAATATTATTTAAAGTAGTTGTCTGAAACCTGTATGCAATACAATATATTTTTCATTCATCTTTTTCCCTCTGTGAGCCTCAGGACAATGTACTAATGACTTACTAAAGACCTGTCTTGCAACTATACTGCCCTAAGTTAATCTAGGTCATTTTCCCAAACTGATGCTAGAGTAGTTATTTTATTCCTTCCAGTTTCAATTAACATTTCACATCTTCTGTATTAGGCTAAAAACATCTTAAACCCAAGATCATTACAAACTTTTTCCTTAGAGAGTAAATCACAGACTTGATCTCTATGAAATTCAGTCACAGGAATGAATGTAAGAAAAAAACCCACACTAGGTTCTGTATAGGCAACCATTTTTATGTATTCCACAGAAAGGTAAGTAAATCTATAATCAGGGTAAACAAACTTAGGAATCTGAGTGCTTTCCAAAAATGGAAGAGTGACTCCTTTATCACGGAAGTAACTTTAGGTTAGTTACCAATTCTCAGTAAACAGTGTTGCAAGCAGTATCATTGTTCCCTGCTGGCCTGCAAACAAAACAGCCCTAGCAAGCTTCAGAGATGCAATAGATTTCTTTAAAAGCTTTTGCCCTCTTTATGATTAATTTCCTATATATCTCAGTTCACTGAAATATATATTCCATCCTCTCTTCCAACACAGCTCTAAAAGCACCATACGTCCAAAATTTCCGAGTTTAGGTAAGGAAAATTGGAGACTAAGATCCACAATCTCATAACTGCTTAAAAATAAGCATAAATTCTAGGGATGCTTTAAAAGAAAAAACAGATCACTGTCAGAAAACTATAAAAGGCATCTGTGAATCTCAGTACTTCATTCAGAGTGCTAGATGTGACAGAATTTGGCCTGTGGCAGATAATGCAGAGGAATAAAGTAGAAGCTGTTGCTACTGAATTGCAGCTCAGCTGACACCACACTACCTAGAAGAGGGAAACAGAGCAGCACAGAAAATCCCAGCAGGTTCTCATAACTGTGACAGATCACATTTACACATATTTTCCAGTGATTTCATTATGGACACACCAAAGAACAGAACACTACCAAAATTACCCATTTAACTGGCTGCAATTCCAACACATTGACAATAAGCCCGCAGTCAAATATCTGACCACAAGTACCTAAAAGAGAGCAAAAGAGGGAGATATAGACAGAGCACAGGACTTCCCCTACCTTTTCCAGGTCTGATCCACTGTAACATGCTGGTAAAGAGCAGGCAGATCCCTGCCTTTCTCAGCTCTGCTCAGAACTGACTCCAGCACAGCTCTTCCTGTTTGCCCTTCTTATCTTTCCTGTTGATTGCACAGCCTGGCTTGGATGAGGCCAGTACAAAAAGTTGTCTATTAACCAATACTGTTAATTCCAAAACTTTTTTTGTTTTTAAAGAAAGAAACATTCCTGAGAATGGAGTTGAGCTACTGAAGTTTATTATGCAGAGCAGAAATGTATCAAGTGGGCTAGAAGGGCCATTCACACACTCCAGCTTTTCAAGGCAATAACTCGTTGGGGTATTTTGCATTGATGGCTAAAAGGCTCTAAGGGACACATCCAGGCTATTGTATTAAAAAAGCATTGTTTAGCAATAAGTAGCAAACCATCCTTCAGATATAATACAGGGCTTTGTCACCCTTTGCTTTGGATTGCAAAATTAGATTTCTTGTTATCATTTCGGCTGCAAAAAACACTGATGAAAATATTTTTGACAAAAAATTTACACCAATATGCTCAGGGTTAAATTGCAGAAGTGTATTATTTAGCAGATCTATCATGTATTATATGCAGGACTAAACATCAGTTTGGGGAGCTGAGCAAGACTTATGGAATGCACACAGAGTTTATCTTCTGTGTAACAAGACTGATCCATGTGCCATATCCTAAATGACCCACAAAAGCAGTGGGGTTCGAGGTGATGGGCTGTCCCCACTGCACTGCTGCCCTCCTACAGCTCCTGCCAGTAGAGTACCAAAACCAGACCCTTCAGATGCCTTTGAGACCTTAGTTGTGACTCCTGCCAGCCCATCTCAGGGAACATGTACTTAAGAGTTGTTTTCAAATCTTAGAAATCAGGTATTACTTATAAAACATGCTCTCATTTACCTTTCTTCATCCCATCACACCATGTAAACATGAATTATAAATTCTACTTCACACTGATTGGGCAGTCTGTTCCTGCAGTGTACTTGGGGTCTCTTCATCTTCCCAGAAATTATAGAGTTGGAAGGTACAAAAGTGATTGTGTAAATCACAACCAACCAATCATCCCAGAGGGAATTAATTTGACGTTGCACTATAATGCAGCACACAAAGCATACCACTTCAGGAGTAATTAATTTATGTAGTAACTATGCCAACAGCATGAAATGCCACATTTCTGCCACCACTTCACTAACTAATTTTTCCATGAGTTTCAAAAATGTCTAAGTCTTTCCATCACATTTATTTTATATGTATATTTAAAGATTATATTTGGTTACATTTTTATTACATCAGTACTTCACTAGTGATTCTTTTTTTTTTCCCCATGTGAATAAAAGTAGTTTTGAAAAAACCTCGAAGAGTCATCTAAGACTGTATTTTTACCAATGGATAATAATCATTTAGTCTCTATTTCTGAGTCCCAAGCATTGTAGAATTTACCACTGATTAATATGTCCCTAAAATCTTAAAAGATACAACTAATTTTTATTTTAGAGTACTGAAATTAGGATAGATGCAACTCACTTCAAGAAACATGTAAAAAAATAGCACTAACTGAACTCCAGGCTCCTTAGCTCCCTTTTCCATATTATCATTAAATAGTTTGGGTTGGAAGGGACCTTTAGAAGTTGTCTTATCCAACTCCTCCCTGCAATCTTCAACTAGATCAGAAATCTTTAGCTTTTTCTATGATTTTACTCTGAAGTCATGCTCCATGACTTTCATCACATCACAGCCAGTACTTCAATTCTTGGTGGTATATACGGACATGTATTTTAAGTGGAAAAAGAATAAAAAAGTTGACCCTGGATTTCCTGTTTTCTTGTTGGAACAGTACAAATGTGCATTACAAAAATATAGGTGAATAAGCTTATTAGACAGCTGCTCTCATGAAATAACTCCAGAGACCAGTATATTGCAGCAAACAGGAAAAAACCAGAGGTAGCACAGATTGGTTTCCATATTAGTAATCACATCCCTTATACTACATTCTGATTACTATGAATTGTGCTACCTGTTTCAGGTTTCCTTTTGCTAAAAATAGATTTCAAAGTTGTTTCTTCTAGTCAATTCTTTAACTAGTAAAATTACATGAAGACTTGATGGTCCTGATTATGTTGGGTTGTCCCTAATCTCTTCAGAATTATTAAAAGAAGCTGACAGGAGGCTGGGGAGGACATTGTGTCACATACAAGACACTTCCTCTAATTGTCTCTCTCAGGCATTGCTTTTCATCATCCTGTTTGTCTGCCCTTCTGCAATCACATGTTTGCCCGAACATTTTCCACTTCAGCAGCTTGTCTTAGGGAAAACAACTCATTTTAATATTAGGGCCAAGTTATACCTTCCACTATAACTATTATTCCATCACAGCTGGAGAAATACCTATGAAGGAACAGTCCACTGCCAAAGGGACTAACGTTAACTTGTAAAAACATTGAGGCATAACTCACTTGATTATTCACTGATAAGTGACAGAAATACCAGTTTTAGGTGAGAAGGGATCTTTCTACTAAATTCCTGTCTGATTTGCTTCAACCCAAGTCCAATGTATGTCAACAAGCTCACTGCCCCTTGATAGAACTGATCCTAAAAATATCCTGTTTGTTCCATGTTTTGCTCAAACTGGCATTCTCTGCTATTTACATCTAGCATGGCAAATTTGAAATCACATAAGATACTGACTGCTGTCTTAGCTAAATTACTCTTTGGTTCCTCTTTCATCTAGTAATTGAGGTACACCCCCTCAAAAAGAAGTCTAATATACAATCCTTATTGCAAAGTTCAAGAAGAAATATCAGTTGAGCTCCTAGATGCGAAAAACATTCAGCTTGAAGTACTAACTCACAGTGATAGCACTTTAGCAAACTTACCCAATTACATTAATTCTAGACAGATTGTCAGCATGCATGGATTTTAGTTGTGTTTTGTTCATGCTATGATTACACACAACTTACACAGAAATAGGTTTATCCATATGTTTCCTTTTGATTAGCATGTTATCTCTCCACAGCAACTGCATATAGAACTAGCAAAAGTGCTTTCTTCTGGTCTGCTGTCATCTTTGCATCTGCCTGCTTGAAACCCAGATAGCTTTACTTCCCCCCAGGTCTTGAAAAAAACACCATCCCAGCTCCATAGCATAGGTTCAGAAAGGAAAAAGAGAAAACATGGAAAGATAAATACCCTGCACCCATCTGTACGGAAATGCTGTCGCCTTACAGTCTGCAGGAAAATGCTGAGTCAGAACATGCAGCTGTTACACCACTTACACAGTTCCTGAGCTATTTACACAGCCCACGACATAATGGCTAAGTTTGCTTACAATTGCCAAACGCTAATAATAGATGTTACCGAGATTGTTATTCCTGAGCACAAGGAGGACCATGGTACACACCTGACAGAGCTTCCTCCCACCTTTAGTATCTCCCAAGGGCCACTGCTGCTCTCTTGAAAACACTTTTATTTGTAGACCAAAAAGCCAACATGCTCCTAACCAAGGAAGCCCATATTCAAATCTCAGCAGGCAAAAAGAGATCCAGTCATAACTGGAGTCTCAATTCCATCTCAGCCACAGCATGGAACATAGGTCTTCCCACAGCAGAGAAGGAGAAAACTTCTAAGAGTCTCATTGGCTCAGAATAAAAATTACAATTATCACTTACCACTTAGAATCACTAATACTTAGATTAATAACTTCGCTTCTGTACTTTATGGCTGAGCACAATTTATTTTCTGCCCCATAGGAATAACAGCCCCCTCAAATCAAGCACAAACCTTGGAGTTCCATGCAGCACAGAAAGCACATTACTTCTCAATCACCCCAAACCAAATGTACTGAGACTCGAGTTTGTATTCACAAGCTTCAGCATAGGAAATGAGCTTTCCCTATTTTTCTTTCATCTTGCAAGAGGAACTTAACTCCTCTTATCTACTGGAATTAATAAACCACTTGGCAAATAGAGCCTCTAAAACATCCAAGTTTCAAGAAATTAGGAAATATATGCTGATAAGGAAACAATAATTCTGCTCATCTACAAACCTCCAACTATTAAAAGGAAGTAAAAAAAAAAATCTGTATTCCAGGCACTTTACATTTAAACTCACACAGAACATACTTCTTTTTTTAAAAAATTGGTTTTTTACCCTTGATAGGCTAAATGCCTACCTTTCACAGCATTACAGGGGAATTAAAGGAAAAATAGGTACTTCCTTTTATAATTAGGTGAAGTGATTTTTAATTAAAGGTTAACTATTTTCAGCTGCTTGAAGTTTGCAGGTAAAAATAAGAATTTATTCTTAAGGAAACCTTCTTATAGGTAGCTAGGAAATAATTATATATTATAATCATGTATTGAATAGAGATTATTAGCTATGCTGTTCAAATGTATTGATCTCTTTTCCTTCAGAGAACTCTTTTCACAGGGTCACATGTCCATCAAGGTTGGAAGAGACCTTCAAGGCCATCTAGTCCCACATTAAACATTTAGAAAAAGGCACCACTCGAGGCTTTTTCCCAGAGTAAGATTTCTTGCTGAGGCTGTCACAGCTTTTCTGCTGTCCTTTAAAGCAAAGAAAACTATGTCAGTATATCTAAAATTGTTTATTCTGAGTGGAGTAGAAAGCCAGAGCTCCTTGATCTTAAAAAAGAAGAGGGAGGAGCAGCAGCAATGAATATTTAGTTCTGCTTCAATTCCTTCTCCCTTCTGAGGATTTGCATAAATGTGTACTATTTGAAATGTATTTTTATATTTCTATATACATATTCAACTCTTCTTTACTAGCACTTTTGGGATGGATTAAAAGACTTTCAAGAAAGAAGCACTTACAATCCTTAGCCATACACTGAAATACTTAATTTGCAGAACTGAAATTTTACCCATCTGTTTGGTGATTCTGCTTAGTGCTAAAAAGTGCAGGGCCATGGAAATTTATTTATAGGAGCTTGAATATATGTGGAATACAGATATATCTGAGCTAGTTTGGCATTGAGAAAGTAAATTTTTACTTCCTTAGGCATTCAAAAAGTGGAGAAAAGATATT